AAATCAATTCAAATGGTTTTAAAAAGTCAATATACCTGGAGGAAAAAGTGCCTGCATTTTGGTCTATAATCAGATTACTACTATCTTATTGTATGCCATGGGAGCCAAGGTGTATTGTAAATGAACATATCTATAATATTATCTGTGTTGGTTAATTGACATAAAGCATGACAAATATATTTTAGGACTTTCCACACAAGTTGCAGAGAAGATATCAAATTCCTTCTCACCCATTTTGCAAGATAATTTGACAGCTTTTGTTTAGGCTCATACATGGTTGTTGATTAAGGTCATTTGTCATACAATTATGGTTTCACAACTTTTAAATTTTTACCTTTCAATGATGCATGAGCATGTTTGATACTAATGCTATTATATTCACAATAAAAGGTCGATACAAATGTTCACCAAAGAAAGTTCAATGCAAAATGATTTTGGCATAGATTTACTTAAACTACTAGAATTTCAGATTGGCTGTATCTTGGTCCAAGACAAACGAAAACAGATTGAGTTCATTATACAATTGAAACATATGTACACATGATGAAATTGATCTTATTATGTAACTATGTTCGGTCATCATTTTGCCTCCTGCAGGTTTCTGAGGGCATTGATTTTTCTGATGATAATGCTCGAGTGGTTGTATCCTTATTTCTACTCTAAAATGTCATAATTCTCTGTCTTGGTCAATCTAGATCTCCCTTCTGGCTGTTGGTGTTTATTTTGTGAGAATTAGAGATGATCATTCTCAGATGATTAGAAGAAGGATTTATTATTACTGCTGAAATGATCACCAAAAAAAGTAGTGGCTGAGATACGGGATTAAATTGTAGCTCTTCTATCGTTTTTCTTTCTTTCTTTTTTCCCCCAAACAAATTGTAGCTCTTATGAACCTTAGTCATGTCAATGAATTACATACATTGCAAATGCCAATATTGATCTACATTAATGTTTACTAAATATTGAATGTTCTTGACAATCTCAGATTATAGTTGGCATTCCATTTCCCAACATGTAAGACGTTTTTAATTAATAACATTTAATTTTTGCCAATGAAATTCTATTATGTGTTTATATCTGTTTTCTCATTGATTGCTTTGTTTTGACTTCTCACAAGAAATGATATTCAAGTGGCACTAAAGAAGAAATACAACGATACATACAAATCTTCCAAAAATCTTTTGAGTGGAAACGAGTGGTATTGCCATCAAGCATTTCGAGCTTTGAATCAAGCAGCAGGTGCATCATGGTCATTGAGTTGTTCCCATATTATGACCCAAGTTTATTCCTTAGCTCTGTTTTTTTTCCTTTCCATATTACCTTTTTTTTTTTTTTTGCCTTTTATGCACTTTAACTTGTAGATATGAAAGTTCTCATTTATCAGCATGTTGTCTCTTACTTTCTGTAGGTCGTTGTATACGGCATAGGCTTGATTATGGAGCTGTCATATTATTGGGTAATTATTTTCATTGCTTAGGCTTTCTTTCTTATCCGGCGTCTCTTATATTTCTCCTTCTCTTTCATTGCCTTAATAAGGCATAAGGCAACCCAGGAAAATGATTGAAAACTTTACTTCTTTTCTGTTAGCTTGATCAGGAATGGATTCTTTTAAGTATTGTTTCGATTTTTATGGACAACATGTTTTATTTGAGGAAAAATTCGTGGACAACATAGTTTACTACTTATAAATTGATGCAAGCAGTTACGTGATGGAACCATTTTAATATAGTGAGAATTCCAAATGGCTCAGTTAATTGACATGTTTCATTGAAAAAGCAATTAGTGCTGGCAATCTGCATTTTTAGTTTAGACTTAAAAAAAAAAAAAAAAAACTTCTGCCCTTTCTTTTAGTTTTCTTTTTTTCCTCAATGTCTTTGCTGCTGGTTATTCTTGAATTGTAGTTTATTAGAGATCTGTAACCTTAGCATTACAACATTCAGCTTGCTTTGATTCATTCAGTAATGCAATTGTTCTTGTGGAATTAGATGAACGTTTTCAGGATGAAAGAAATAGAGCATTCATTTCAAAGTGGTTAAGAAAAACATTGAGGATATATGACAATTTTGACTTGTCTTTGAAGGGATTGAAATCATTCTTTGAGAATGCCAAGGTATTTGGTGTATTTCTGACCCCTCACCCCCACCCTCACAAACAAAAAGGTGTTTTGTTAATGTGATTGACTTGCTTACTGCAGGAGCAGTTTGGCACAAATGTCACTCAAAATTTGAGCTTAAACCAGGAATGTGACGAAGCCAAGGATCATAATATGGGATTTATAAGAAAGAAAAATAAGAAACTTTTAAAGTCTGATAATGGTGGTGAGAGAACAATAGAAATGATCAAGGACGAGAGTCAGCCATCTGAGCAAAAGAATAGTGACGCATACAACTGTAAAGACTGTTTTGACCCAAAGGACTGCAAACAGTCAGTATCATGGTAATTGTATGCTTGTAATGTCATCATTATATTTACTACTTAACGATGGAATTCAAGCTACCAAATGATAAAGTGTCAGATTTGAGCGCTCTTATACGTGTTTTTGACTTTGGGCACATCACAAGTGTGAGGTATTAATCTTCTTTTTAATACCATCATACTGTGATTGACTAAGTCTTTGGCTTATTATATTTTAAGCTGATATTTCTGATATCATCCTAAAAGATGTTGAGCTAAATCTAGATGAGTAAAACTAACCTTCATAAACACTCTGCTAATTCTATTATGTTTGTGGAGACTGCTGCTCTCTGCTCTTGCTCCCATTCGGCTATTTTGTCTGGGGAAGGTGCATCCACTGGCACTGATATCAAGAACAGGGATCAATATTTTAAGCATTAGTAGCTTCTTTCCGGTGACCAAATAATGAACTAGGCCACAAGTATGAACTTTGTTCTTTAATTTTAAAGTCTGATACTTGAGAGAGCATGCCGTTTAAGGGGTAATTTCTTTTCTTTTCCCACTTTTTGGGGTGAAGGGGGAATTTAAGGGTTTTTGATGTCTTGCAATATAAAAACTGTTTTTTTTTTTTTTTAAGGCTGCATTTGTACTTCAAATTTAATTTTTTCTGCATGAATTCTTAGAGTGTGGAAATTGGAATTTCTTGTGCCATCAGAAATCAATTTGAATCTCAATAAAATAATAACCATTCTAGATGGCCAAATAGTGACAATATCATTACTAGTTGAGAGATTCTTTTCCCCCCTTGCAGCTTCACAGGGGTATTATCTGCGGCAGTTATACATGAAGAAGTCTCCCTTGTGAAGGAAACCCCTTGCATGGATGGCAGCATCATCCCTGCTTGCCCTGGTTATGGTTGTAAGGATGAACACTCTAGCTCCACCTTAATTGAGGCATCTTCTGAATTAAATGATCAGTCAATCCTTCCAATTTCTTCAAGTATTGGGAGTAAAGCTTCTTCAACAGCTCAGTGTTTAATATCAGTTACTCCTGAAAAAAATGTAACTGCAAACAGCTGTCATACTGTGGAAATAGAATCATCTTTAAATAGGAGTGTTAATTCTCACACCCAGAAAAGGAGAAAGTCCATGGACATACCGTTTATAAGCCTTATTGAGGAAAAAAATTACACCACCCCCTGTGCCAGCATCCCTTCAAGGCACAATGTAAGCTTGGTGAATGTCAGCGAGTTGACAAATAGAAACGAATCTGATTTTCAAAAAAAAGTTAAGTCAAATTCACTTCAATCGCAGACAAGGAATCTGACCTGTTCGTTGTCATTAGCTGATCCTCTTATGGAGAAAATGTTACAGATATTTTGCTCACTTTGCAGAAGCCCGTTGGGTCGGCCTGAGAATAATCAATATATTACATGTTCTTTGACCTTATCATCAAAAGTTCACTTAAGATCTCTTTTGAAACAGAGATTGAAAGGTTATAATGATGATGATTTAAGAAGTGTACCAGTTATTATAACTTGCATTTCATATGTTGATCAACGCATCTGCAATAGAGTTAATGGAAGTGTTCCAGAGCAGGGAATTTGGTGCCCAGAAGATGGGTGTGTTTTCAGGTCTATGTTTTGCCCCTTCTGCAGTAAACCCAACAATTTGCTTGGGGTACAGATCATGGCAACTGATGCATCAAATAATCATTTACTTGACAAGGTGTGTTTGTGCATAAATAAGCGTCCTTGTTGCAGATGTGCCTAAATCATATTCATTTTTACTCATTTCTTCTTTTTCTGACGAAATTGATCCAGCCCTTCCAGCTTTTCCATTACTCATCATCTTTTTTTTCCTCCTTGCATTTCTTCGTCAGATGTTGTTTTACTTTGATTTTTTGGAAGTTAAGAATCTTGAGGAATCAAGGAGTGAGGCTTCAAAGAAAGCGGTAAGCCCGGTTAATATGGCCTTTTACTGTTTCCATGGCACTAAATAGCTATTGCTAGGCGGTTTGTATTGGGTAGGAAGGTTCCTAGACAGTTGCATTGGGCATGAATAGAAAAGAAGACGCAACAGAGAACTAAACTACGCACGGGACAAAATATTATTTGCCTAATTGGTGTGCACCTTGAAATGCTTAAGGAAAAGGCATTGAACTTAGAATGTAATTTGTGATCCCACTCCATAGTCACCCCATAAGAACTAAAAATCCTGTCTTTTAGAATGAAGGGACAACTAACCTTTTTCTCTCTACTTCATTTCGAGTTATTTTTCACATAGGCTTCTAAGTGTTGACTAAAAGGAGAAACATCACCAAGAAGCTTTTTGGGGAATATATATGATAACGCATTCAGCATTGCTGTAGGATTTGCTGCCAAATAGAGGCTCTGGTGTGGATGAAATTGCTATCTTGAATTCTTTTGACAAATTTGAGGAGTCAAGAGTCTTGAAGACTGGAAAATCAAAGGTCAGATTTCAAATAAATTTACTGGCATTCAAGTCATAGGCACTCTGTCGTGTCAAAATTGACATTTATATTTGTAACATGCCGCAGAGATTGCCAAGATGAGGATTACTCCCAATGCAGAAGGCCAAGGTAGGAGCCAAAAATGAAAATTGAGCTGTGAATAATCAGATAGGAATTATGTGGACAAATGAGGTAAAGATGCCTTTTAAAAATTAAAAAGAAAAAATTGAATAGTTTTTGCTTGCAATTGATTTTACGCCACTTGGTTGCCTTTCATTATGTAGATTTCAGAATTTTTTGGACTGAGATGTAGATTTCAGAATTTGGAAGGCACCAGTCTGGGACTTGATCATTCTGTACTGAGTTAGATTTTACCCTCAGCTTTTTGAGGAAGTTAGAAGTAATGTCGTCCTCTTTAAGGGGACTGCTTCCGGTAAATTATTTAATGGGATCATCAACTTGCAATCTTACTTTGGCTGTCAAAGGCACTTGTATTATGGCTGCTGGTTAGGTTCAAAGATATAGAACTGTTCCCCCCCCCCCCCCCTCTCAAATACAAGATATAAAACTGTTATTTCTCCTTATTGGCATCAAATAGCAGATCATACAACCCCGTCACGTTTGGCCTTCCGTACAGCAAGTTCTGCTAGTCCCTGTCGAAAGAAATGTGGGGACTGAGCGTTAGGGGTTAACTGGTAATGGTAATTACAATTTTACAGTAGTAGGAACTGACCGCTGAAGCTGTCATTAAGTAGGCCTTGATCATGATTTGCACGAGCGGTTATCAGAACACCTAAAAACATGGCGAGCTCTGAATGGAAAATAGGCTAGTCTGCTTGCTTGTTTTTTAAGTTGGTTTTATTTTATGATATCTGACTACAGGTATACAGGGTAATGTAGCATGAAATATAACACGACGCAATAAAATGACTAGTACTGCTCAATACTAGAAGCATTAATAGATGTTTGATTGTTTCAATCGTCTGTGGCACCTTAGAAGCATAAAGCCTATGTCCGACGCCTCACCGCCAAGAGTGCAATAGCAACAATGCAGAAGGTTGGTTTTGGTATAGAAGACTTCGATACTTCAACCAGCCACTTCATTTATATATTTGTCCTTGAAAAATCCGCAGCTTGCATTTCTGTTTTGTTCATCACTTGCTCAAATCCCGCATCACCAAACCAATACGAATGGGCAAATTTACTTGGCGATTCATGGTTTTTTTTTTTTTTGGGGTACTGAAGGAGGACTAAATGCCCAAATTATAATATTCCAGAGCAAATTCCCCTACAATCATTGTACACCAGAGTTCTGAAATTCTTTGGGCAAGCATAAAAAGGCAGACACGGATGAGAAATAGTGTGATGGATAATGAAAGACTTGCCGACCATCCCCTTTGGCACTTGGGCTCTAAACCAATTGTGGACATTGGGCCGAAGAAACTCTCCTGCACTTGGAGGGGTGTTGGAGTCCGCAGTCCAGTGCTGCCTTAACACTTTAAAAACATGTAAAATAAGATGACAACGGTATTTATATAGACTTTTTAAAAGAGATTTCATGGGGTTCCAGATTGGTATGTGAGAGTATTTTATCTTGGTTTACATAAAATATTTTTTAAAAATGCTTTTTAGGGTTTTCAAACACTACATTCGTAAAAAAAAGATCACAATGCATCCTAAAGTTTGAAAATGCTAACCAAGATCAAGGTCTCGAAAAAATATGGGATAGAATGCCTCTATTTAGAGGTTATTTGGGTAAAACTGAAATTATAGTTTTAAAATTGTTTTTATAATATGTGAAGTAAATATATAAAAGAATTTGTTTTGATTTGTAGAAAAACGTTTTTTAAAAGTATTTGGTCCTATATGTAGAAATTTATAAGAATTGAAAAATCATTAGTTAACTAACAGGGGTTGATTTTAATATGAAAGGCTAGTTTCTTATAACGTAGTGAATTAATGTTTGTATTCTTTTTTAAAGAGGTACTCATATTTTGTAATGTATTTATATTTAGTGTCTAATAGTATTTCAAACAGATTTGTTTTAATAAGAAGATACGTATTAAAAAAAAAACAAAAGAAAGATCATTAGTTAATATAAAACTGTACATGTTATTTTACCCCAAAAAAACCTATACATATTAATTTTAAGAGATAGAAACCCATCAAAGGAATATTTGACACGAAAATTGTTAGCTCCATATAAATATTTGATAATTAAACACTTTGCACCTATAGTTTATTAAATGAAATTGGAGTGTATAGTTTTGCTTCGAACTAACTTTTCATCTTTTACAATGAAGACCTGTGGGGTTTTTTTTTTTTAATCGAACTCTCAAGTTTCTGAAAATCATTATATTCCTTTGTCAGGAATTTGTATCCATGACGTTGAAAAATGAATAAAGAGCCTTAATCTTCAATTAATCTTTTTAGTTCTTGAAGTTCTTAATTGTCATCATTTTTCTAAAATGCACCAATGTGTCATTTTTCCATTTTCTTTTCATTTTTTGTCTTAACCTTGATAATGTCTTGAACCATAGAGTTCTTTTAAAACATTTCACTAAAGGACCTAATTTAATATGAACTACGAGACTCGTTGATTAGTGTTATAGTGGATTAATTTTTTTTTAATGGTTATAGAGGATTAATAATAAGCAGTTGAGAGGTAATTTTCTGACACATGAGCAAGATGATTTTTTTTTTTTTGGTCAAGTAGGGAAAAGGTTTTGTAAATCGACATATATACGTGCCCGCGTGCATGAAAATATGAATAGAGACTAGAGAGTTTATCAGTTATCTTGCCATTAATCGTGTTTTAATTTTTTGGCCAAAAAATTGTTTTAATTTTAAGTATTTTTCAGATCATTTATTTTATATTATTGTATGCCCGCGTGCATGAAAATATGAATAGAGACTAGAGAGTTTATCAGTTATCTTGCTATTAATCAATGGGAAAATGGCAATAAAATACCACTTGAATTTTAAAAAGACAGATAAGGGACCTGAATAAGTAAAATGACAAATAAGGCACTGGGTACCAATCTGGAATTCATATTTTCGGCCAAAAGACCAAAATGCCCTGATGAATGCGGGAAGACCAAAAGCTGAAAGTGAGAGAAAGGAGAGAGGAAGACCGACGCAGTGAGAGAAAGGAGAGAGGAAGACCGACGCTGATGAAATGCGGGAAGAAGAAAAGAAGAATGTTGGAAATGCTATTATCTTACTCCTTCACATCACCATTCTGTAGAGATTGTTGATTTTGGTTGTGGGAAAGAGGATTTGTAGTGAGAGAGGGAGTGAACCGAAGCGGAAATCAGCAAGCAATTACGTAACGTAACTGCTGTCATATGCCTGCTGGTTTTTGGTAAATCCCATTACGTGGATGGTAAATTTCACTATACATGTAGTTAATTATGAATTTTACAAAATACATATTGTGATTTACAACTTTTGTAGTGAAAGTGACTACTTTGTTAATGGGTTTTGCAACCTGTTTTCAGGAGATAAACAACTTGTTTGTAAAAATTAATAAAATTTCACGCTAAATTTGACAAAACGTATAGTGGGATTTACAACTTCCGTAGTAAAAATGACCACTTATTCAATGGGTTTTGTAACTTGTTTTCAGGGGATGGGCAGCTTGTTTCTAAAAACTAATAAAATTTCCTACTAAATTTGACAAAACACATAGTGAGATTTACAACTTTCGTAGTGAAAATTACCACTTCTTAAATGAGTTTTGCAACCTCTTTTCAAGGAATTGACAACTTGTTTCTAAAAACTAATAAAATTCCATGCTGAATTTTACAAAACAGAGAGTGATATTTACAACTTTTGTAGTGAAAATTACCACTTCTTAAATGAGTTTTGCAACCTCTTTTCAGGGGATAAGCAATTTGTTTCTAAAAACCAATAAAATTTCATGCTGAATTTTACAAAACACATAGTGATATTTACAACTTTTGTAGTGAAAATTACCACTTCTTAAATGAGTGTTGCAACCTCTTTTCAGGGGATGAGCAACTTGTTTCTAAAAACCAATAAAATTCCATGCTGAATTTTACAAAACACACAGTGATATTTACAACTTTTGTAGTGAAAATTACCACTTCTTAAATGAGTTTTGCAACCTCTTTTCAGGGGATGAGCAACTTGTTTCTAAAAATCAATAAAATTTGACGCTGAATTTTACAAAACACACAGTGATATTTACAACTTTTATAGTGAAAATGACCACTTCTTAAATAGCTTTTGCAACCAGTTAATTCAATGTGACTACAAAAGTTGTCACTTTTATTAGTTTTTACAAACAAGTTGTTTATCTCCTGAAAACAAGTTGCAAAACCCATTAACAAAGTAGTCACTTTCACTACAAAAGTTGTAAATCACAATATGTATTTGTAAAATTCATAATTAACTACATGTATAGTGAAATTTACCATTCACGTAATGGGATTTACCAAAAACCAGCAGGCATATGACAGCAGTTACGTTACGTAATTACTTGCCAGTTTTCTGATTTCCGCTTCATCTTTCCGCTTCGGTTCACTCCCTCTCTCACTACAAATCCTCTTTCCCACAACCAAAACCCACCAAATCAACAATCTCTACAGAATGGTGATGCGAAGGATTTAGTTTCATCAACTGGAGGGGATTCGGTTTCGTGGAGTGGAGGGATTGATTTCATCGAGTAGAGGGATTCGGTTTCACTGAGGGGAGGGATTAGTTTCACCGAGTAGATGGATTGGTTTCGCCAAGTGGGGGCAGCTTCTCTTTCGCCGAGTGGGGGGAATTGCTTTCGCTGGGAGGAGGCGAACACAATAAGGGCAATTCAGTCTTCAGGCCAAAAATCAAAATTCCAGATTGGTACCTGATGTCTTCTTTGTCATTTTGCTTATTCAGGTCCCTTATGTGTCTTTTTGGAATTCAAGTGGTATTTTAGTGTCATTTTCCCTTAATCAATTGTGTTTTAATTTTTTGGCCAAAAAAATTGTTTTAATTTTAAGTATTTTTATATTTTATTATTAAATGTTTTATTTAATTTATATTTATATTTATATATTATTATCTGGCTAATCCAATTTGGATTCGTAACTTTCCTTCCTTACAAAAGTGTCTCTTTTAGAACTCGAACTCGAGATCCAAAGGGATCTAGCGGTGCAAGAACCAATTTTTTGTTAATATTTAATTTATTTTTATGCTATATAAATAGAAATGCATTCGTGGTGCATTAATTAATAAATGAGTTAAAATTAGTGTGAAACTATCCTATTATATATATGCCCATTGCATCATAAACTTCTATTATATTAATTAATAATTAATATGCTCTATCAATCGAATGCGTGAAGAAAGATCCTTGAAAGTTATTTATCTACTAATCGTAGACACATTAAATATGACACCAAAAAAATTATAACAAATATTGTACTCGATATCTGATAAAAATAAAAACATTACTAAAATACAATGACTTCCCTTCTATTTTATTAAAATTGTAGAGAACTCCCCTTTATTTTTAAAACACAGACTTTAATTCAATTTTTTAACACTGCTAAAAGTGTTTTGTTATAACTTCTAAAATACTTGATTTTATTTGCTGAAGCTATGGCTAAAAATTTAAAATTATTTATT